AAAATTAGCAACAAATGGATTATATTGGTCTAGTATTGATTTTATAACTTCTAAAGTTTCTTGACGAAGTTTAGGTATAATAGTTAGCCTGTTATTTGTTTCATGTTCGGTATCGTAAATATATAATTGTAAAAACTTTGGCGTTGTATTATTAGGAAGAAGAGATCCTATAGAATGATATATGCCACCTTGGACCTGAAATGTATATACTCCATCTTTGCCTATTAAAAATAAGTAAATTTTATTTTATATGTTATATATATTATATACACGTATTATTAATTAAATCAAACCTGACTTTACCATTAGCAAGATTTTGATCTATCTTGACTCCCATAGAAGTAAAAGCGAAAATGTTATTATAAGCACGAATGTTATTACGAAATTCATTTCCCATATTATCACGTCTTGTAAATAAATCTTTCAAGAATGCATTACATTCAGTCGAAGCTAATCTATTATAGACATATATAATGTACTATGTAGATTTATTATTGTAATCGTAAATTATTACCAATAGTTGTTATCTTACTTAATTTTTCCAGTTTTACAACATATTCCTTCTGTTTCCCCTGCAAAAAGCTTGGCATTACAGTAGGAACAAATGCGAGAAGGTTTCAGAGAGTGACGAATAGCAGAATTTATTTCTTGAAAGTTCAGACCAATTTTGTATTTTCTCTGTTGTTTTATCACTGAAGTTCGTCTTCGCTGAGACTTTTGATTCTGAATGATACTATTAGTTTGGGTATTGTCAACGTTTCTAACATTTCGTGAAAGTAGATGATGATAAGGTGGCATTTTAAGCAAGTATAAATGCTGAAGATAAATAAATAATAATAAATATAAAATATTATCGATTTGATAAATTTATACAATCCAGCGATCCATGTTATAATAATAATAACTTATGTATATATATTGTTACATTTATTTATTATTACTTTTATATATGTTATAACATTTTCAGATTCATGTTATTCATTGAATTACTAAATTTGTACTATGAAAAAAATTTTGTATTAGCCTGAGAAAAATTTATATTGTTACATTTATTTATTATTACATTTATGCATATTATTATAACATTGTCAGATTCATGTTATTCATTGAATTACCAAATTTGTATTATGAAAAAAATTTGTATTAACCTGAGAAAAATGATGTATCTTTTTAATGTTATGTAAGTCGCCAAATTTCTAGATATTTCTAGATACATGTAATTAATACGCAATAGACAAATCAGAATATATGTGACAATAAAGTATTTTATATATCAGGGAAGGACAAATTTTATAGTACCGTATTATGATATTGTGGCGGGTTCAATCCCATTTTCACATACATATTGTTATTAACAGCTACTGCTCACTTTAACAGTTATATAAAATTAAAGTTAGTACTGGTTAGTTGTTAGCACATATTTTAAGTAGATTTTCAATTTAGTGACATCAATCGATAGGTTATTGCTGAAATGATTGTCGTCATTGAAGTAAAGCAAAATTATTATTATTAACAATCTCTTGAAAAAAAAGGTTCTGGGAAAAATAAAGCACCAGAACTATAATTTCTAAATCTTAAACAGCGAATGTTGTAATAATTAGCACTCTGCATATGATATTTATATATTCTGCATACATTAGTGGCGAATGTCGTAATAATACCGATTTGCATAAGATATTTACGCATTTGTAGAATTATGCAGATGATCGATAAAATCCTCGTATCTGTAGAAAATCGATCATTATGCAGATGAT